CCTGTGCTCGTCTGGCCCCTGCTTCAGGACCCCCGGGCCAGGAAAGTCTTAAGCAGGAGCAGCAACTCATTCTTCTGTGAGAAGTCTTTGGAGGTGACCTGCTCCTGTGCAGAAATGATAAGCTGGGCTGTTCCAGTCTGGGACGTCAGGTTAATTCCGCCTCAGTCCGCCACATCCTTCCCGCTACTGCCGAATGGCGACCCTTCTCTGTTCCAGACAAACTGGCCGTGCTTGTGCCCTGCACAAGGCTCATCTCCCCCCTCCGTGTCTTTGCACGTGGCTGTCCCCCATGCCAGGAATACCCCCCCTCCTTACCTTTGCCTCACAGAATCCTTATTCTTTCTCTAAGGCTCAGCTCAATTTCAGGTGGTTCTCCCCGAGAGGCCTTCCCCGACCATCCCCCTGCCCATTTGTATTTATTTTTCTACATATCTCCCCAGCAGAACGTGACCCCTCAAGGACAGGAAATGCTCAGGTTTTGTCTTGTATCTCCAGCCCGGGGGAGAGCACCTAGAATACAACAGGTGCTCAAGAACAGTCTGTGAAGGCAAATGGTCTGGTGTCAGGGTTACAGAGTTTGTCCCTTCTGTTCATCAACCCAGGAGGCTCACCATATTTCGAGCTCAGGTCCGAGCCGGTACCTTGCGCCTTTGTTTCTGGCAATTTCGATGCCTGTTATAAACGTGCAAAAGAGAAAAAAATGAGAGAAGCATCTCTCCGTGCAAAGGAAAGCCTCGTTCCTCACTCCTGAGCAACCTGGCTTCTCAACAAGATCATCTTTTGAATTAATTCAATATAATAAAGACCCCGGGTCACACCCAGGCCTAGACAAGCCAGCCAGAGATGACAGGAACAGAAGACTCTGTGTGTGTGTGTGTGTGTGTGTGTGTGTGTGTGTGTATCTGTGGGGATGTGTATAGAAATTCTACATCCATATTTAATACATGTAGATTTATATTATGATGTATAATTGTCACACCTTAGATGCTATATTAAGAGACAGTGCCGTGACGTCTCTGACAAACAATGACTGCGGGACCCCAAGCCAGTCACTTGACGTCTCTCTCAGGGCCCCAGGGTTAGCTGGTGACCAGGTGGAGAGAGCCCTGGGCCTGGAGTGAGCAAGACCTCAGTTCAAATCCAGTCCCAGACACTTGCTAGCTTTGTGACCCTGGGCCAGGGCACTTCCCCTCAGCTCGCGCCAGTTTCCTCAGCTATAGCACAGGGATAATAGCAACACCTCCCTGTAGGATTGTTATGAGCGCTTAGCCCAATGCCCAGCACGTACACATGTTAGTTACAATTAGCATTATTATTAATAAAAGTGCTTCGCACAGTGCCTGGCACACAGTAGGGGCTATGAAAATGTTAGCTATTTAGTATCATTTTCATCAAAAGTGCTTAGCACAGTGCCTAGCACGTAGTAATGATAGCTGGTTTTTATTATTATTATTATTATTATTATTAAAAAATGCTTTGCATTGTGCCTGGCACATCGTAGGTGCTATATAAACATATTATAACCATAACATATATTATTTAAGTACAGCGGATTATTATTAAGTACATAATGTTTGACACATAGTAGGTGCTATAAAAATGTTAGCTATTACTTTTTATTATTCATAAAAAGTGCTTTGCATAGTTCCTGGCACAGAGTAGGGACTATATAAACTATAGTTTATTATTGTTATTATTATTTAAAAGTGCTAGCACATAGCAGGCACTAGATAAATGTTAGATGTTTGCTATTATTATTAATAAAAAATGATCCACATAGGTCCTAGCACACAGTAAGTGCTATATAAATGTTAGCTATAATTTATTATTATAGCTAACATTTATATAGCACTTAGTGTGTGCTATTATTGTTACTGCACTAAAAGTGCTTTGCACGGTTCCTGGCACATAGTAGGTGCTATATAAATGTTAGATATTTGTTATTACTAATAAAGGGTTTCCCATAGTGCCTGGCACATAGCAAGCCCACATAAATGTTACATATTTATTATGATTATAATTATTTAAAAGTCCTTCACATGGTGCTTAACACATAGTAGGTGCTATATAAATGTAAGGTATAATTATTATTAGCTCCTTCCCTTGCCCCCAGGCAGCCTCTCAGTATACCAGTCCGTATGAGCAGGAGTTCCCTGTACCAATGAAATCAGAGGCCAGCCCCACTTCTATAGAACATAGTACTAAAGCTAATGGGACATCGCTACCAGGCCACTAATAACAGCTCCCAAGCTGACAGAGCTTCATTACTGTAACAACAAGACATCACAAATATACAGAGCCTGGAGGTTTGCACTTCTGGTGTTACCGTCTTTATCCCGTTTTCAGATAAGGAAACTGAGACTCAGAGAGGCGATGAGTGACTGAGATAGCGCCAAGCTCCGGTCACTACTGCTCAGTATGGGATAAAACACAGGAGTGGGAGCCAGGATTTTCCCCGGTGACACGTGCTCTAGGTCAGAGCCTTAACCACTCTGGGCCTCGCTCGTCTCTAAGGTGATGTATGGTACACCAGTGGAAATGGGCCCGGGCCTAGGGCCACAGTGTAGTGAAGGATGCGTGTATAGCGCTTTCACTGATATCCTTATCTCAGCCCAGTCTTCACTGTCCTCACGAGGCAGCCAAGGAAGTAAGTGGATTTCCAATATGAGCCTCAGATGAGCCAGCTGACTTAGCCAACGTCACACATAAGCATGAGCTGTTCTTTCATTATTGCTATGTAAATGTTAGTTGCTGTTTATCATGTGCAGAAGGTTGGGGCTGGAGCCCAGCATGCAGGCAGCCAGGCGCCCAGGGCGTGGAGGGGCAGGAAGAAAAGGACACGTTCCTCCCCTGGCAGCCTCTTGACATCAGATCCAGAAGAGTAGCCCACTGCGGAAGGGAAAAGGTATTATGGTGTCCCATCTCACCTTAAAACTGAGGAAATCCAAGGCCAACTCCATGTTTACTGAGACTAATGACAACAAGGTGATAAAACCCTATCAAATGTTTGTGTAGCCCTTATCTTAAGTGTCCGAAGTTTGCCGGTCACACCTTCTTAGATGGTCCACTGGCTGGCACAAAGATCCACCGTCCAAAGTCTTGGGGCTGATTTGCCCAGGGGATGTCTGGAGGTGAGGCCCCAGCCTGCTGGAGACTTTGCCAGGGATCCGATGGGGAGCTGCTGGGAAAGCTTCAGGCTTCCCAGAACCAGCCCCTACTCACAGGCAGGCCGCCCAAGGGCTGGTTACTACAGCTTTGTACAATTGAAAAGGATCCATGGTTTTTGTGAGGAAGGTAAGGGTGGCCTGGGATCTACCCTGGGGGGATCACTAGGGCCTTTTTCCCGGGATGCCTTGCGCTGGGCAAGCACTTATCATGCACCTACTGTGTGCCAGGCACTGAGGATACACGTACAAAGAATGAACACTATCCCAAACTTTGAGCAGGGGAGACACCCCAATCTGGGGAGGCAGGGAGGTGTCTGAAGAGACTAGGGGTTGCTTGGCACTTGTTAGTGGGACTGAACGAGTTTTCCAGCCGCCCTGTCCTGGGGTGTTGTGCCCACAGGAATTTTCCCTGGAGGAGGCTCAGAAGACCTGGGGGTTGGGGGGCCACTGAGCAAAGCGGGAGGATTTCGCCTGGGGTGCGAGGCGGCTCTTATCCCTGCCCCCTCGGGCCCCTCGCCCGACGCCCGACAGCCCAGGCCTGCAAGGAGGGGGCACCCTCCCCTTCCCCTCATACTCACTCCTTAAAATCCTCCGCAAATTGCCCTCAAAATCTAGGGCCCACTGATTGAGCGAGCAGGTGGCCACGGTCACCTTCCTGCCCATGCCTGCTGCCTCGTCGGCCTCCTTCGGTCCGTCCTTCCTTCGATCCGCACCCGGGGGAGCAAGGGCAAGGGTAAGGGCAACGGCAGGGGCCGCGGCCTTCTCTCTTCCGGGCTCCGAGCGCCGCGCAACGCTGCGATGGAATGCAGTGAGCCAAAAGGTTACAAAGTATCCTTGGCTGTCCCGGATTGGTCTGCGCCGGGAGCTTCCTGGCCGAGCCTTCCGCGCCGTACGCCCTAGCGTACCCCTGGGGAGGGGGGTCGTGCTCGCGGACGCTGGCTCCGGGTACGCCCGGAGCTGAACCGGGCAGGGGCTACAGCCCCAGCCCGGCCCCCTCCCGCGTCCCGGCCGGGCTTGGCCAGAGAGAGACCTCAGAGCTGGAGGGCGGAAGGTTTGCCGGGCCAGACTGAGAATGCGGACTAGGCTGTTCAGACGAGCTGACACGCTGTGGCACCAGCTGGCCAGATAGTGATAGGTCAAGTACTGTCCGCGAGACCTCCAGCACCTTTCTTCCTCCCCTCCCCCTCCAGATGTGGCCCCAGTGACCACATCGGTAGGTTCGGTCCCGTGGCCTGAGACAGCTAAAGCTTGCCTCAGAGGACGAAGTCCTTTTAAATCCCAAGGTGGGGGTGGGGTTGACGCGCTATCACCAGTCCTAGCCCTAATAATCAAAAAGCATTGTTTAGACGCTACTTGGCCAGACCCTGAGAATACAAAGAAGGAAAAAATCCCTGGCCCTCCAGGGGCATTTACACAGCAACGGGGAAGACAACGTGCACATACACGTGCACATACAAGACCACTACAGAACAGACGGGGGAGGGGGACATTCCCGGGATCGGGGGCAGGTCCAGAAAATAGGCCAGCACGGCTGGATTCTCGAGTAAAGCATACAGAGCTAGGAATAATAGGACAAACAAAGCATTTTGTGCTTCTTGCTAGAGGGAAGCAGATACTCCTGGCGGTTACAACGCAGGCTACCTGCAGCTGGATGCCGGTTCACTGTCCCTCCCCCTGGGGCTCCCTAAAGACCCACCCTCTCTGATGATCCCCGCCCAGGAGAAAGCCTGGCTTGGGCCGAGGGGGAGGGAAATGGCGCCTTTGAACCAGGGTCCCGCCCCTGTTCCTGCTGCTGAGTGGCCAGACTGGCTCCTCCTTGGTGGGCTCGGGGTGGCTTGAGGCCTCTGCACCAATCTAAGGGTGTAGAGCACTCTGATCGGGGGATCTGTGGCAGCCCATTGGCCGCCTCCGCGGGACGCATCGGCTCGGAGGGCGGTCCCTAAGCGGTTGCATCAATTTGGGCTCCCAGCCCTCCTACCTTTAGAAGCATCTCTGGGTGTGCTGGGTCGCGGAAGCGTGCGGGAGGTAAGAAACCTAGCGGGAACTGGCCCAAGGACTTTGGGGATTCCAAGCAAACAAGCTAGTTGGAGAGGTTCACCTGGGGTACTGTGGGACACTCTGGACAAGCAGCATCTTGGCTTTGGCTCACAGAGCACACGCGTCGGCCCTTCATGGGGTGTCCAGATGTGTTAGATTGCAGGTGCCTTTGTCTTTGCATCTCCGAGGCCTACCCCAGCGCTCCCTAAATCTTGGCTGAGAGGCGCCCCAGTGCTTGTCTCTCTTGTAGGCTTTCACAGTCGTAGCTGTGATGAATCTAAAGGTGGCTCCATCTCTAAGGCCTTCCCGGAGAAGGGGCACTAGCTACCCAGGTCCGAGGGGAGTGCTCCAGAGAGCCTGCAGAGCCCACAGAAGCGTTTAGTAGGAGCTCGGGAAAATGCTGCAATGCCTTTCAAAAACACTGAGCAGACTTGCTGCTCTCTGATTTCAATTTCGAGGGCTTTTGCATTTATTTCACATTTTAAACCTTGCAATATGAAAACGAGGCAGCAGCCCAGCTCTAACTATATTCAGAACATAACTCAGTCTAGTGAAAATGCCAAAGAAAGCCTGGGCAGTCAGTTCTTAATCTTAACCACCATCTTGTAATGCAAACAAACACATGGTACACACCAACCACATTAAAGAATCGAATGAAATGATAACTATGAAATTGAAAAAATAACCTTCAAGATAAACTGAGCTCTGAAGTGAAATAAGAGATCGGGGCAAAATGGCAGCGTTTTGGTTTTGCTTTTCCTAAATTACCCCAGAGAATTCATCTTCATGAGTAAATGTGCCTGACTGGCAGAGGTGCAGAAAACTGGGGACGGCCCAGCTTTCCCCCTCCTCTCTCTGAAACGTCCTTGGACTTTTGCTCTGATTTGTTATCCACCAGTGGTGTGAGGTGTAGAGATGGTTCAGACTGTTTGAATTGTTGTTCATGGGCAAAGAAAACCGATATTATGTGATTACAAAAAGTGACCCCCCAAAAAACCCAAAATTGTTTCTCTGAAAGGTGTTAACAATGGCCTCTCTCGAATCGTGGTGTTGGGTAAGTAAACTCTGAGTTAGCTTGGTGTGGTTTCCAGCCAAACAGAATCAAGATGAGAGCTCTAGAGACAGTTTGGTTTTTTCTTTTAATTTTCTAGGGGGCAAACCCCTGGACAACGTCAGGTAGCATTAAAACTTTCAGGTCCTGTTGTGGATAGTAGAAGAGGGTTGTTCTTTCTCTGGTTGAGCTTGGGCTCCTGCCTCCTCCTGGGGGGAGTCCCTATTCTGACTTTGATGACCCCACCCCAAGGGTACAGATCTTCATTAGGATCTAGAGTGGGAAAGGACCCCCTGTTATAAACGGGAAAGCTAAAGCAAATTGTTCAGGTTCTCAATGGCATGTTTGAACTCATGCTAGCTCCCTTGGCATTAGGTGGTGGTAGTATTTCCATTAATGGGGAAGTAGCTGCTGGTACAGTGCAGGGCCTACAGTCAGAAAGTACTATCAGAAAGACCTGAGTTCAAATCCAGCCTGACAGTTAATCTTGTGACTGCAGCAGAGTTTGAGGACCTAAGGAGATAGCTTAGTGGGTGCTACCTAGATGTTTATCCCCTCCTCCTGCTCCCACTTCTCTCCCAGGCTCATAGTGAGGCTCAAATGAGATGTGTGTAGATAAAGTGCTCTGTAAATGTTTTAATCTTCCTTTTCCTATGGAGTGGTTCTGGGGAAGGGAGGATTCTGGAGGCTCAGGGCCCAGCCGTCTTTGATGAGCGGGGCTTCCTTGATCAGAATCCAGCCCAAGGAAACACATTTTCCTCTTTCTAGAGCAGAGATTTTGCAAGCTTTGACAATATAGAATAGTGTTCAATAGAAATGATTACCTTGGTAATCCTATATATTTTGTGCTTTTAAAAAAGTGATTCTGAGAAGGAATCCAGAGGCTTCAGCAACAGCCCAAAGGGGCCACGCCCCCAAAGCAGTGTAAAGGTATTTCTGAGGCAAACTGGACTGAGCTGGCTCTTGGCCCATTTGGGGGGAGGGATGTTTATCTGGTTCTTTTTTTATCCTCCAGAACAGACAGCTTCACTCCCTGCTGACTTGATCTTGGCTGAAATGAGCCCCAGAGTGTTGGTCACCAAAGCTTCAGGTCATATGCTTAGAGCTTAAAGGAGCCTAGAGATCACCCAGTCTGGCCCCTTCCTTTTGCAGTTGAGGAAACTGAGGCCCAGAGAGGGCGAGTAGCCAAGTATCCCTACAGGGATTCAGACCCAGCTTCCCTGGCTGGGGGCATTTCCTGAAAATCTCGTGGTTTCCATTGAAATATGATTTCAAACTCATATTGTATTTTGGATGCAGTTAGGAGGAGCAGGACCTGTCTAACACCTCTCAGAAAAACCAGGATGACTATTCCAAACCAGACTGACTTCTGGGGGCCTCCAGGCAACCGGGGGGGGGGGAGGGACTCTTTCCTCCTCATTTCCTTTTTAAAATATATTTATTCTAGTCACTGTGATGACGAGGAAGACTAGGTTGTCACAGTTTTATTATTGTTGTTGTTTATATTATTTATTTATATATAGTATTATATATATATAGTATTTATAGTATTATTATTGTTTTATTATTATTGCGTCACCTTCATTTCCCAATGGATTTCCTACCCGGCTCCCTCCTGGCTGGTTTTCCAGAGCACCATGGATTTCTTTGCCTAAGAATAACCACAACCTGAGGAGGAAAGAAGGAAAGGTGCGAAGGTGAAATTAGTCAGTAAACCGACCATGGGACACTGTTTTCAGGAGTCCACACTCATAGCCCCGACCTCATGTGGGAGAAAGGAGAGGGCGAGGCAGTAAAAGTTAAGCTTGATCATTATAAAATTACACATTATTCATCTTGGGTCTTGTTTTTCCATTTTTCCTGGTTGTGCTCCTTCAGTCCATAAGCATTTAGTAAACGCTGAAGGTATACAAGGCACTGTGCTAACTTGTGGGCCTACAAAAAAGGCAGAGGAGAAAGCACATGTCCACAATTAGGTGGCCATAAGACAGGGACTGAGGAGCCCCGAAGGTGCTGTGATGGGGGCGGGGGTGGGGGGGAGCCAGGGGCCTGGGAAAGGCTTCCAGGTCCAGGTGGGATTTGAGCCCAGTCTAGAAGGAGTCCGATGCAGAGGCAAAGGAGAGTCAACAGTCAATAATTGGATTAATCTTCATCCATGACTTAGGGACGTGGGGCTTTCTTGGCCTTCCCCTTCCCTAGTGTTAAGGATGAAGAATATAGTTATCTCCTAAATGGCAGTGTTTTCATTCCCAATGTTTAACAGTACGGAACTGTTGTTCTTTAGAAGCTGGATACAATTCAACTATAACTATATCCGGACCAAGCTAGTTTGAATTGTTTTTCCTGAAATTGAGTTTTTTAAAGATCTCTATTCCTGTTTTACTCATTTAGGCTTTTTTTTTTAACCTTTGTTTAGTTAGACTGCTTTTTCTGTACGAGGAGACAGGTTGGACCAGCTCTAAAGCAAGGCCCTTTGTTGGAGTCCTAGACAGGTGAATATTTGAAGGATTTCAGAGGCAGCTGTCTTGGCAGAGGGTGCATCTGGCAGAAGACACCTGCCAGCTCTTCAGCCCACTCCCCTCCCAAACTCAGGAGCTGAGTCAGTTGGCCCCTGGCACACGCTGGGCCCAGTCTTGGAATCTTCTTGTGGAAGGAGGTGTCCTTGGATAGCGAGCCTCGCTGCCCTCCCCCATCCCTTCTCATGCCTGCTGCCTTCAGAGACACAGCTCTTCCTCACCAGCCATCGAGGACTCTGTCAATGCGTGTTTGATTCAGTTGGGAAAGATGAGCAGGTTTAGATGTTTCAGGTGACAAAAAAGCATGTTGACTGGGGCAGCCTGTTCCTGACATGGAGAACAGTGCTGCAGGCTAGCTTCAGAAGGTCACAAAGCCCTCCTCCTCCTCCCACATCTCGCCCCTGCCCTGGCCAGCCAGGATGGTGCCCTCCCCTCGCCCTGGTGGGACGGACATAGTCTCCCTTCGTCAATTTGGGAGAGTTGTCTCCAGAAGGCCCCTGTTACAAAGATATTTGTGTGTCCTGGGAGAAGAAGATGTGTCCTTCTGCTAGGAAGACCTCAGCCTTATTGACCCATCTGTCTGATGAGTGGGCTCTCAGCTTGGCAAGGTGGGGACAGAGGAGAGATGTATATGTTTAGTGAAGCGGGCTGCCTGGTGCTCCCCAGCACTAGCAGGCCTGAACGGGGGGTGTCAGTTATGGGTATAGAGGACCGACTACCATTCTCCATCCACCACCTCTCCTGGCTAGCACGAATTTAGACCTGGAGGGGCTTTAGGGACCATTAAATCCAGTCCCTTCTTTTTACAGATGAGGAAGCTGAGATCTAGAGAGGCTAGGTGACTTGAGCAGAGTACGCATCAGAAGTGGGATTCAGACTCAAATCCTCCCCAATCCAAAGCCCTGGAAATGAGCCCAAGATGAGCTGCTTTTTTTGAAAATGACTGGAGCACATTTCCGCTTCCGGGAGCCAAGATGGCGGAGTGAAAAGGTAGTCATTCTCACTCTCCCCTATCAACCTCTGAAAACCCAGAAAATATCACCCCAGAAAAACAACCCTGGAACACCTGAACTAGAAGAAAGACGAGGAGCAGCAGGAGACCCAGCAAATGGGTCTCCCAGTGCCTCAGGAAAAATAAGGGAGGCAGAACTACAAGGGGCCCCAGGCAGATAAGTAAGCAGGGGCATTCATCTGAAAGGAGGTGAAGAAAACAACCTAAAGGCTTCCTAAAGCCCTGGCCTTGCTGATTCCAACCCAACACCAGGTGAGCTGTAGGAGCCCTGAAGCCTCCAATTGTGAAGAAATCCTGAAGCCCAGGTGGTAGAGCAGGCAAACAACACTTGGACCTCTGAGTGCCTCAGTGAGGGCATGGGAACCAGTGGAAACCAGCTCAAAAAACCACCAGGAGCCTCGGCACTCCACCGCAAAGGAATCTCCTGCTGCATTAGCAGAAACAGGGAGACAACACTGCAGGGGCCCCAGGCAGATAAACACCCTGCAGCACCCATCTAAAAAGAGCTGAAGAAAGCTAAAGGAAAGGAAAAGCAGGCAACCTAGAATTGCCTGAAAGTTCCAGCCTTGCTGATTCCAGCCCAACACGAGGTAAGCTGGCAGAAACCTACAGCCTCCAATTGCCAGCATAAGAGGCCCCAGCACACAAAGCCAGTGACCAAGACCTAGGCTCCCAACACAAGAAGCTTGGGTCAGTACCCTCTGTTCCCCAGCAGGAGAGCTCAATCTCTTTAAAGGCCAGGGAATAAAGAAACACCATGAGTAAAAAGAAACGATACCATAGATTCATATTATGAGAAGAATGAAGATCAAGACAGAAATTCTGAAGAGAACAACATTGTCAACAAACCCACATCTGCAACACCAAAAGGGAATTTGAAATGGTCTGAAATCCAAAAAGCCTTCTTAGAAGAGCTCAAGAAGGATTTTAATAGTCAAATGAGAGAGGTAGAAGAGTCCTTCAAAAATACAATTGGCCAATTGGAAAAAAAATACACTGAAGAAAACAAGTCCCTAAAAAACACAATTGGCCAATTGAAGAAGGAAGTACAAAAACTAACAGAAGAAAACAATCTGTTAAAAACTAGAATTGGACAAATGGAAACTAATGTCTCTATGAGAGAGCAAGAATCAGTCAAATAGAAACAAAAAATGAAAAAATAGATGAAAATGTAAAATACCTCATCAGTAAAACAACCGACCTGGAAAATCGACTCAGGAGAGACAATTTAAAAATTATTGGACTACCTGAAAATCATGATGAAAAAAAGAGCCTGGACAGTATCTTTCAGGAAATCATAAAGGAAAACTGCCCGAAGTCCTAGAACCAGAAGGGAAAATAACCATAGAAAGAATCCACCGATCACCACCTGAAAGAGATCCCAAATTACCAAGAATATAATAGCAAAATTCCAAAATTACCAGATGAAAGAGAAGGTGCTGCAAGCAGCCAGAAAGAAACAATTTAAATATCATGGAACCACAGTCAGGATTACACAGGACCTTGCAGCTTCTACATTAAAAGACCGCAGGGCATGGAACATGATATTCCATAAGGCAAAGGAGCTTGGAATGCAGCCAAGGATCAATTACCCAGCAAAAATGAGCATCATTTTTCAAGGGAGGAGTGGATATTCAAAAAATAGGAGACTTCCAAACTTTCCTGATAAAAAGACCAGAGCTCAACAAAAAATTTGATCTTCAAGTACAGGACTCAAGAAGGACTTAAAAAGGTAAATGGGACAGAAAGATACAATATGTTGTTAATGGGGGGGCTGTTTAAACCCCTACAAGGGAATATGACTTGCAACCCTTGAGAACTGTATTGTTATTACACCATGTTAAAGGAGTATAAGTAAAGAGGCTGGATATTAGTTGACTCTGATGTAATGATAAAAAATAATCTAATCAAGTGGGTTAAATGGATCAAAATAAGTGGATCAATCTGATCTTAGAAAATGTACTGAGAAAGGAGGAGGCAGACAAGGGTAAATTACATTACAGGAAAAGACACAAAATCCTATTACAGCAGAGGGAAAGAGGAGGGGGGAGCATTGTTTGAACCTTACTCTCATCAGATTTGGCTCAAGAAGGGCATAACATAATCAGTTAGGTATAGAAATCTAACTTGCCCTATAGGCAGTAGGAGGGAAAAGGGGAAAGAAAAGGGAGGGGGAAAGAAAAGGGGGGAAAGAAGAGGAGAGAACAGTAAGACTAAAGGGAAGAAAAGGGAAAGGGATAATAAAAGGGGGAGGGACTGAAGGAGGCGGTGGTCAAAAGCAAAACACTAGTGAAGGGGAAAGGAAAAAGGAGAAAGAAAAGCATAAATGGGGGAAAAGGATGGAGAAAAAGACACAGATAGTAATCATAACTGTGAATGTGAATGGGATGAACTCTCCCATAAAAGAAATGGATTGCAGAATGGATTAAAAACCATAATCCTACAATATGTTGTTTACAGGAAACACATTTGAAAAAGAGTGACACATACAGGGTAAAGGTAAAAGGCTGGAGCAGAATATATTATGCGTCAGCTGAAGTAAAAAAAGCAGGGGTAGCAATCCTGATCTCAGACAAAGCAAAAGCAAAAATAGATCTAATCAAAAGAGATAAGGAAGGAAACTACATCCTGCTAAAAGGCACCATAGACAATGAAGTAATATCATTACTAAACATATATGCACCAAATGGTATAGCATCCAAATTCTTACAGGAGAAGTTCAGGGAGTTACAGGAAGAAATAGACAGCAAAACTATACTAGTGGGGACCTGAACCTCCCCCTCTGCACTAGATAAGTCTAACCACAAAACAAACAAGAAAGAAGTTAAGGAGGTGAATAGAACATTAGAAAAGTTAGGTATGATAGACCTCTGGAGAAAACTGAATGGGGATAGAAAGGAATATACTTTTTTCTCAGCAGTACATGGCACATACACAAAAATTGACCATGTACTAGGGCATAAAAACCTCACAATCCAATGCAGAAATATTAAATGCATCCTTTTCAGATCATGACACAATAAAAATTATATGTAATAAAGGGCCATGGAAAGATAGACTAAAAAATAATTGGAAACTAAATAATCTAATCCTAAAAAATGATTGGGTCAAACAACAAATCATAGAAACAATCAATAATTTCATTCAAGAGAATGACAATAATGAGACAACATACCAAAACCTATGGGATGCAGCGAAAGCAGTTCTTAGGGAAGTTTTATATCTCTAAATGCTTACATAAATAAAATAGAAAAAGAGGAGATTAATGAATTGGGCATACAACTAAAAAAACTAGAAAAAGAACAACTTAAAAATCCTCAACTAAACACAAATTAGAAATATTGAAAACCAAAGGAAAATTAATAAAATTGAAATTAAGAAAACTATTGAACTAATAAATAAAACTAAGAGCTGGTTTTATGAAAAAACCAATAAAATAGATAAGCCTTTGGTTAATTTAATTTAAAAAAAGAAAGAAGAAAACCAAATTACTAGTATCAAGAATGAAAAGGGCAAAGCTACCACCAAGGAAGAGGAAATTAAAACAATAATTAGGAATTATTTTGCCCAACTATATGCCAACAAATTTGACAATCTTAGTGAAATGGATACATATTTACAAAAATATAAATTGCCCAGATTAACTGAAGAGGAAGTAAAATACTTAAATAACCCCATCTCAGAAAAAGAAATTGAACAAGCCATTGATGAACTCCCTAGGAAAAAATCTCCAGGGCCAGATGGATTTACATGTGAATTCTATCAAACATTTAAAGAACAATTAATTCCAATACTATATAGACTATTTGGGAAAATAGGTGAAGAAGGAGTCTTACCAAATTCTTTTTATGATACAAATATGGTGTTGATACCTAAACCAGGAAGAGTCAAAAATAGAGAAAGAAAATTATAGACCAATTTCTCTAATGAATATAGATGCAAAAATTTTAAACAAAATACTAGCAAGTAGATTGCAGCAACTTATCACAAGAATAATACACTATGACCAGGTAGGATTTATACCAGGAATGCAGGGTTGGTTCAATATTAGGAAAACTATCAGCATCATTGAGCATATCAACAACAACACCAACAGAAACCACATGATCATCTCAATAGACGCAGAAAAAGCTTTTGATAAAATACAACACCCATTCCTATTAAAAACACTAGAAAGCATAGGTATAAATGGAGTCTTCCTTAAAATAATAAATAGCATTTATCTAAAACCTTCAACAAGCATTATATGTAATGGGGACAGGCTAGAAGCATTTCCAATAAGATCGGGGGTGAAACAAGGATGTCCATTATCACCCCTGTTATTCAATATTGTACTGGAAACGTTAGCTTTAGCAATAAGAGAAGAAAAAGAAATTGAAGGCATTAGAATAGGCAAAGAAGAAACAAAGCTATCACTCTTTGCAGATGACATGATGATATACTTAGAGAATCCTAGAGAATCAAGTAAAAAACTACTTGAGTTAATAAACAACTTTAGCAAAGTTGCAGGCTATAAAATAAACCCACATAAATCATCAGCATTTCTATATATTACCAACAAAGCCCACAGCAAGAGATAGAAAGAGAAATCCCATTTAAACTTACTGTAGACATTATAAAATATTTAGGAGTCTACCTCCCGAAACAAACCCAGGAACTCTATGAACACAATTACAAAACACTTTTCACACAAATAAAATCAGATCTAAATAATTGGAAAAACATCAGTTGCTCATGGGTAGGCCGAGCTAATATAAAAAATGACAATCCTACCTAAGCTAATTTACTTATTCAGTGCCATACCAATCAAACTACCAAATTATTTTATAGAGTTAGAAAAATAATAACAAGATTCATTTGGAAAACAAAAGGTCCAGAATATCAAAGGAACTAATGAAAAGAAATGCAGGGGAAGGTGGCCTAGCAATTCCAGATCTTAAATTGTATTATAAAGCAGCAATCATCAAAACTGCTTGGT